ATCTCCCCGCGGGGTTTCAGGGAACTCAGCGAAGCGGCGACCCTTCGAAAATACATCCCGTCTCCTTTCCATTTCAAGATTCGGAGCAAGAAACCTCCCGACTGACCTTCATCTTGATTTTCGGGACTGGTGTCGGAGCGAACTCGGACACTTTGGACGATGTCCGAACGTGACGGAGCGCGTGCGACCTGGCGCATCTGAGAGACGGGGTGTCAAATGATCAGCGCGACTATAGCTAGAACCTGTAGAGTCCTGGCCCTTCCTGAAATAGAGTGGAGAGCTCTTGTTGACGAGATTGACGCCGCGATGACGTGAGCTTCGCATGAGAATCCCCCAGTGAGGTCTGACTCTTTCTTACTAGCTGACAGGACTCATCGTGGAAGCGCTGAGAGTAGCCCTGTCCAAAAAAACAGCCGGAAAGATTCTTACGCCCTGAAAGTTTAGAAGGGACCAGCGGCGCAGCATAGCTCGTTTGAGACTTGATTCTCTGAGAATGAGAGAAATAGATTCTGCGGCACGGTAGATTCTTCTCAAGTAATTGAGAAGAATCATTTGCAGGTATCGTTCCCGTTTTGACCCACGGAATTCTGCGTCACTGTATGTATCCATTTCCTCGACCGCGACATGCTTCTGACGTGCACTTGCTCTTGAATTCACCATTCCAGGGACAGCCGAGTCTTCAGATTTTTCAGAATCCATCGTCTCCCCTCGGCGATCCGAGGATTGCCGACGCGGCGGGGGCTCGATCCGATAGCCTCAGCCGGGATCCAGATACAAGTCCAAGGCGTACCGAGATAACTTGCCCGGATCCCCCTAAGAAATCCGAGTCCTTCTCTCCATCGAGCGTCCAAGACCTGACGGTTCTGCTCGACGAGTCTCATCCGCTCCAGGGTAGGATTCATCAGAAAATCGACGAAGGCGCTCGTCTCGATCAAGCGCGCAATGAGGAATCTCCGATAACGATGCGATGATCTCCCATGATTCCTTCGGGAACTCCACACACGCGACACGCGAAGCCTTCACCGGACAGCTTCCTCCGGGCTTCTTACATTATTACTCCTTTTCCTTGTAATCACTGGAAAAAAAACTTTGTCGACTGACGTCCGGAGAACTTTTCTTGACGACCCTCCGTCGAAAGTGACTAACTAAGCTATCGAGCGACGTTCCCGGTCATTATTGGATATGTCTGTCTGAAAGGACTATCGCTCTCGTGGAGGCTCGGTGAAACGAAGTATTTCATTTCATCTACCGATTCCTTTTATACTAGAAAGGGAGAGGGGGAAACCGCTTCGACTCCTTAGCCCGATTACGACAGTCATCGACCGCGGGAAAATGAGAAACTCCGTCAAGGATGTGCTTTCGTAAAAAAAACTCGCAATGAATTTCGGACTCCCCGATCGAGAGCCACAAAATCTTCACCAAATCGGCATCAGCAACGAGAGCAGGATTTTCACCGCGGTCCCCCGCTTAGGACTCGATTAATTCACAGTTTTTTCTCGCCAGCGTTGGCCTCAAAATACAGTATTAGGTGTCCTCTGTTCAGTCCAGGTTTTCAGCGTGCCATTCTTTTGGCTTTTTCTCCCTAGAGATCTGAAGCCAGTGGGCATCCGTGGCTCGGCGAAGGACGTTTTTTCGAGGGTCTCTCCTCATCCAGAACAAAAGCTCGGGGAGCAACTCGTTCCATCTCGAATCAGGAATCTAGATCCATCTCTCCTTCATAATTGTCGCATGATGCAAACGATCTGCCTGAAACGAGCTCTGTAGCCCACGCTACATCCTACGATTTTTCACTTGGTGGCTTATTTATCTCGGTTCAGAAGCATACTCGACTCTCATATTCAGGTGTAAGTGAGGAAGCGAGGCCCTCAGGGAGAAATTCTCTCCAGTGAGCTTCCAAGCGTATCCTGATGAGAGTCCGGAGCGCATCTCTTGGTCGGCAGTCTATTCGCACCTGGACATTAGTCGCCCGAGATTGAGACTCGGGTCGGTTTCTCTTTCTATTCTCGAGCGTTCTCATCAGTGGTCAGACCTTGACAGAGCTGGCCTGTCGGTCTCGCACAGCACTCGACAAATGGGCAGAGGAGATCTATGAAGAACGCGTGGTGGTATTTCATCATTGTAGCTCTTATTCGGCAGCGTTCAGCCTGAGCAGGATATGTGTGCGCGAGAGTTTTGAGTCGTTATCCGCACCATAATTCGAGTATTCCTGAAAAAATCGCCTTCTGACATCTGGAAGCATTCCGAGGATCCGAAGTCTATTAACCGCTGTTCGGTTGGACTCCAACCATAGAACTCGGGGAACACGGAGAACTCTGCCCGAGGCACAACCCGGGGCACGGCGGGAACATCTCCACCTGATTCACGTCGGAAGGGTAATCGAGTCTTCATCGGAACGTATCAACGTCTGTGGGAGGATACTTAATTGCCTCATCGCTGCCCCCGAAAAGGTGCCCGTGACTTATTTTCTGCTCTTTCTTTCCGACTTCCAGGTGACATCTCGCCGCGAACTGATCAAGGGAGCACTCGAAGATCAGATATCATCCTTCCTTGGATGGCATTCATGTAAAGTTTTCTCAAGAAAAAGGATTCGGAACGAGCCTACTCTACAATCCTCTACGATACTATAAGCTAATGGTGGATGTCAAGGATTCACAAGAGTGCTTCTATTCAACCATCGATATCACTTTTGGGTTTATTCACCGCTTAACAATTATCTCGGAGGCATTGCTCCTGCGGAATACATACTGTCTCTCCGTCCGGCCGGATCGAGCGTCCAGCCGGATCGATCAGGTCACCCTCAGACTCCAAAATGATCCTTCACCTTTGAATTCTCGAATGGTGACGACCCAGAGAGCACCAAGTTGAACATAATAAAAAAATACTTCCCCGTATATTCAGATTTCGATGAGATTAGATGCTTCGGAACTCTGGTCTAGAATATTCACCGTGGTGCGATCTCGCAGTATATGATGTATGTATTTCACACTTTACACAACGGATTCGAAACTTTGCTCACTTGAGAGTAAATATTCAGAAATGCTTCCGGCGCTCTCCGTAGAACCTTCGAATCGGGTATCTTCGGGAATCGTCATCTCGATATCGTTCATAATATCCAACATCAATTATTGACACAGCCTTATTTACACACGAGATCCATTGATCCTTCGACTGCCTGACATATACTGTATAATGTATGATATTCTAGGATCGATCATCGCATCATCGAGCAACAGTCGAGACTCTGCTGCCGTGAATCACTTTTGTTCGTACAGCTATGGCTCCAAAATAGAAATCTGACGGACACCAACGGAGACGATCTACCACGCTTCCATCTGAAGCTTCGGTTGAATCGTCGCGGGGAATAAATCGTCTCGAGATCTTGCTTCATTCTCCGATATCTAGAAATTATGCCTAATCTCGCGATTTTCACCCGTGATCCGCCCTATCTGCTCCAGTCGTTGACCTTTTCGAGACTACCTAATGTTCCCTGAGAGACGGTCTCATTCGATCCTTTGGGGAAACACTGCAGAATGCCACTTTCGTCGCATCTCCTCAGTGAATGTTCCCAATAAAATCGAGGGAGAATATGATGAAGTCCCGAAATATGTATATACAGTGTCCACTCCTTACGCACCATCAAATTTTCCCGCTGTGGTATCAGGGACCATGTAGAGACCATAAGACTTCTAGGCTATTCGAGAAGGAAAGAGAGAACGAGTCATTAGTCAGGGAGGGAGAGGAGAGCTCAAGACAGAGAAAAATGAGCTTCGATGACAGAATTGTGAATTGAAACACCCGAAAGCTAGACGATTGTGCCTGGGATTTCCTGTCTTAGTGAGTCAACTTGACTCTTGAGGGGTATACAAGTGCCTCGTCTCAATTATTCTTCTGAAATGGATAGGCGCCGAGTATTCCGTCCGCAAGTGAAGTCCAGGTCTCATCATGGCATCCGGGTGGATGACCCATTATGGGATTTTCGCCTTGCAGCGCGAATCTTCCGATGAACATCCGGTTTGAAAAGCCTCGACATCGAGTACCATCCGCTGGTAGCAGCGAGATCTGAGGAGGCTCGAAAGGCAATGTAGACTATCGAAAGGTCCAGCTGATCGTCGCCTACTGGTGAGGCTAGATAGACGGATTCGCGGATCTGCGAAATATACTTCTTGTACACGGGTTTCAGTATCACGATAGATTTTGTGGATTATGACTTCGGGTCATGGATGAGATCACGATGCAGGGAGGTACACGGTGCCGCTGTCGATGGGTCGTCAACTTGGGTTCCAGTATCGTACAACATCCTCTGGCATCAATCGAGTCACGTACATTCATCTCTCCTTTTTTTGGTCTGTGTTGGAACCAACTGGGTTTGTTCACGCATGTGTCCCTAATTCCGAATTGTCCAATGGAATTATTGATGACGACGCGGTGACCCACAGCGTAGGACAGCGGAAAAAACGATGACCACCGCTACAGCTACAATAATGTGAGAGCTCACGGAGCGCCACCGTAGAATGAGGAGAAACGGCAGAGTGGACGTCAAACGATCGAAGAGAAAGAGGACTCTGTACGACGTGGAGTAACCCAGGGCGGTCCGAGTCCCAAACAGACCAATGAGTTGCGGGATCGATAGGAGAAGTGCGCGGCTTCCCTCAACGGATCGGAGCAAGGTCGTATGCGGAGCTGGGAGTCAAATGAAGCCGTTCGGCGATCGGAGACGAGGGCTGTAGTTGAATTGAAACGAGAGCAAAACAGGAGTCACAGTCGTGATTTCCACAGAAGTTGACCGAAGGGTTGCTGGGGCAGTCAGAATTGGGCAGCTCGCCGAGGAGGGACGTCGATGTTGTCAGTTTGTGAGCACAGTTGACTACTGGTTGAACGCGACCCGAGAGGAAGTCCAGTGCCGCCGCTGCTACCGCCTTTTGAATTTGAGTAAAGTCGTCAACAGCAGGAGCGGCTGCAATATCGGTGTCTGGCCGCAATCAAGCGGCCTCGATGTATCGTTATAAATTAGTCTTAACCACAAGCCTGGGCGAGGCGGCGATCCGAGGAGTTGGTTCGAGCACACCATCGGGTTTCATGATGAGATGATGAGTCGGCCCTCCACCAGTGGCATCCTGGCTGCTGACCAGGAATTTTTGAAAGTGAGGATGTTGCTGCTGCTGCTGCGGCACAAGGTGCACGTTGTGAAAGTTCAAATCGTTGACAAGACGTTGATCTTGCTGCTGTAGTCGTTCTGATCCGTGTTCGGGCCAATGGTGGTGGGGGCTGCGAATTGCACCGTTGTGATTGAGACCGTTTGATGAAGGCAACTGCTGTGGCGGAGGCGCCGTGGGAATCGGCGGCGACGAGTTCGCCAACGAGCCCACACTGTGCGACGGAACGAGACCTCCTCGAGGTCGGCTAACGTACACGGCACGAGAGCCTGCATACGTGCAGTCTGTTCGCTGGCTGTCTCCTCGAAGCGGCGTTCCGATCGGGGACTTGGGGAAGCATGGAGTCGAGTTGTTGTTGAAGTTTCGATTATAGCTGGCAGCTCTCGCGTGTCGAAAGGTCGGCCGGGGCCGGCACCGAAACATCCGCGATAGCGCTTCGCTAACCTCGGGCATCCGGGCCGCGTAGATGAACGGATCGACGAGCGACTTGGCTATGATTAGCGCGTTCACGAGTATTCCACCCGATATTCGGGTCGTCATCGAGAGCTTGTTGACCGGAAACGGGCAGCTGTCGGTGCAGGTGAACACGTAGAAACAAACGGCCGGCATCCAGCCGGCTAGATACGTCCCGATGATGAGCAACGTCGTGTACACGGCTTTCACGTTCTGCAGTCGACGGCTGGCCTGGGTGCATGTTGCTGATGTGAGTCCCGTCGTAACGGACGAGCTCGAAGCGGTTTTTTTGCACACAACGTGACGACTGCTCGTCTGTGCGAACAGTCCGATTTTATGCTGGCGTATAATGAAGAATATGTGAAAGTAGATGAACATCATCACAACCAGAGGCACCGTGAACAGCATTCCTAGAAGCACCGAAAAACGTGATTCACGTAAAAACGCGAAATTGCTACACTCATCACTGCGAAAACCTTGGTCGGGTACACTCGAGAAGTACGTGAAGAATATCACCAGCGGGAACGCCCACAGTAAGACGATGCCGATATACGCACTCCTTCGAGTCACCGTCGACGCATAGTGAAGAGGTCGAAGTATTCCTACGTAATGATTGAACGATAAGGCCAGCAAATTGAAAGCTGCGGCCACAAGTCCACTGAGCCGTAGCGCTTCGAGCACCAGGTTGAAACAGCGATGGATCTCGACGTTCAGCAGCGGTAGGTAACTGTTTATGACGAAGCCGAGCCCCAACATGAACGACGCATAGGCGTCTGCGAAAGTCAAACTCAGGCTCAGACTCAACGTGGGGTTTATGGATCGTCTTAACCATCGTAAAGATACGAGCACGATCAGGTTGAATAGGGTCGATATCACGCACGCTAGCACTAGAAGAGGGACCGCGAAGTCGTAGACTTTCCTCATCTGCTGTTCCTCGTCGGCAACTTCGGCACCTGCGGTCGCGACACCTACCGCTACGGTACCGTCATCCGGTAGTAAACTATGGTGGGTCGTGGTGGCCATCGCGGTGCTGCCACGACGGCTGCCAACCGTTTGGGAGCGCGCCACACTCACTCTGGGACAGGGTCCGCGTACCTTCTATTGCCACGTGGGAGAGGGTCCGAGCCCGACCCTCTCCGACTGGAACACGAGGTTTCGCGACGGAATTTTTTCTCCCTCGTCCCTCGTTGATGATGCCGTACCGATGTTCAAGGGCCGGGAATGCTCGATAATTTTTGTCAGAAGGCAGCGAGGAGGTCTGAGTTTTATTCGAGACGGCATCGTCACCCGTGTTCGCGACTTCGAGGTTCGCGTCGCATCGCTTCTTCCGAGGTGTGATGGCGTGAGGTGTGAAGAATGCTCGACTTATCGAAGCCCTCGTTTCAATCCAGATGATACGCTCGGCCGGGACGGACGAGCCAGCTGCTCGCAGCTGGCGGTTTCGATTAGTCCTAATGTTTTCTCGTCCACTCAGGCTTTGGAGGAGGGATGCCCATCGGAATCGAAATTCAATTATCCGGGGGTTTCCGAACAATGCTTCCCCCTCCTCATCCTCTGATCTCGTACGACTCTTCCGACGGATGGTCTGGAATCTTTTCGAGTCCCTATTTCACCTGGTAGCTCCTTGTTTTCCCGAACATCCGAAGGTCCGTGGAGTGCGAGAACTGATCGCGTGCTCCACACCTTTTGCGAGTCACGGTAACTTTTCGATGTCAGTTGAGCGTGATTCCGCTCTGGAGACTGTAGCGGGAGTCCTTCCTCGTACAGGTCAAATCGTGCACCGGCCGAACGCGTTCCTCGATTTCGCAGTTTCGGTCACGGACGATCTGCGGAGTTCTTTCCTTGGGTTGTCAGCGGGGGATCACCCTTGTCGGAGGAAGACCCCTCTCGAAATCAATGATGCCGAGGCTGTGAGCGAGAGAGACCGGACGCTCTTGCATCTACAGGTGGAAAGACATTAACGGAGACCTCCTTTCAGATGAGCGGATCCCAGAGAACAGGGCCCAGGGAGATCATCCGCCCCCGAGGTAGGTAGTCTGATCCCTCCAATCAGATTCAGAGGAAGAGTTTTGGAGACTGGAGAAAATCAGGACATGACGAATGTCTCACTGAATCCTGCGCCTGGAAAATACGCCTGGGAGAAGCGAAACCCGGATGGGGGAATCCATCTCAACTTCCCGCAAGGTGGCTCATAAGCGGATTCGATTTCTTTTTCTAGTGGAGCGGAATCCTCAACAACACAGAAGTTTCCGCAACCCAAACGGGAATGACGGGCGAACTTTACACTCTTATTCGAGGATCTGAGAAGAGGAAACTTCGATCCCGGACGCGACCTCCGGACTCATTCCGAGCCCGGAGGTTGCGTCAGGCGTCTATTTTTGTGACAGGGGGGAAGATGAGCGCCTTCGCTGGAGCCCTCTGTGGAAGCTCAATATTTCGTTTCTCTTCTGGAAGAGGTAAAGCTCGGATCCTTTCACTGGAATCTCCGTCAATAAGCAGTGGTAATGAAAGATCACGATTCTCTCCTCTCAATGGCGAGAAAATCCATCGGCTCATGATCGCCATCTCCCGTACCTGCTCACATAGCGAGATCGTGTTGATCCAGGGCCAGATATATCGACGGAACTCTTAGCCCGGGGGAAGCGTTCGCCACTGTCATGGAACCAATCAGAATGCTGGGAGCTTTCTCTAGGACGTGAAGATGCTCTGATGACTTAGTATGTTTGAGCGACGCATAGTCGACGATTCGGCTGTGCCCGCAAATCCAAGGCGGGGAGTTCACCCATGAAGCATCGGTTATCCATTTCGTTGAATTATTGTCGGCGCTCCTCATTGTCAGGAAAATTGAATTCCTCGGGTATCAATCATAATCATCCCGATGGAATCTGGATAGATAACATCGCACCCTGAGTTGAGCCACATCCTCTCAGAACCGAGCTCGAGCCGAGGGGCGTAGCGTCATTGAGAGATGGAGATGAAGGAGAGATGTGGCTGCGACCTTCAGGAGATGTTTCATAAGCTTCAAGTTGACGACTAGTCACTCCACTCGATTTTCGTCCACAGCTGTCTAGATTGTATCCAATCTAATCTACATTGAGACGCTCTTACCTGTCTTAATTCGAGACGAGTCGACAATTCCCTTGTCTGAATGTAAGAAGGACCCGGTGGGATCAGCCGCTCCCCCTCACCTCCATTCCTGGAGAGAACGTCGTGAGAATAATGCTCGCCTTGTATGAACTTTTCTTCCTCACAAGCACCTTGAGAAGAAGCGTCGAGAAAAACCATATCCTGCTGGAACTTTTAATTGTGAGCGCGTAGGAAAGAATGCGGGCCTCCCGATGCGCGGTCGATCGGGGATAAATGGTGGCGGGGAAGAATGCGGAAGTTTGCAGAAAGTGTTGAGTTTCACGGAAGTTGTGAGAATGATTAGCGCTCCGACCTCTCCGATTACGCCGAATGCAGAGGGTACGCGAGGTAGAGAGCTGCGAAATAGTCTCACGTCGCATCGTTCCCTCGGACGTGTCGCTCTGCCACGGAAACACCATATCGTATGACAGACGTCGCCATCGGATCTCGAGAAGAGCGTACACTCGGAAGGAAGATCGTCCTCCTTCGCTCTTACATATGTGTGCGGCCCAGCGATGTTGCGCACCACGTTCTTTTGGGCTGGCAATCCTCGCTTCCGATTGAGTATCGAGCTTCTGCCCGAGCAGTGGTTCTTTTGCACAAATCATAGCATGAGCGAATCATCCCATTCGTCCGATTCGTCCAAAAAGTCATCCATCAGCATTCTCGATCGAGATGAAATTTCTCATTTCATAAGCACTTTTATTCAAGGGGATTGCGGAAAATGCAGAAATGGGCAGAGCAGATATGAGCCGGGCTCAAGTGATACCGCCTGGATCACAGTAAGTGGTGGCCTAGAGTAGCTTCAATTCCTCTGATGACGAGGTCTTGGCTGCCATAGCGACAGATATATTTTGTCCGAGTAGGTCTTCGGGAGTGCGTGTTCTCTTGATCAAGCAGAGACCTTGTTTCCATCTCCTCCAACACCCGCAGGTCTCCGCAGGAGTTTTGCTTTCAAAAACTGAACTCTAGCAGAGTCAGTATCGGCTGAGCGAGCACCTCTTCGCTTGCTTCCTGCGAGTCCCGGAGGCGCGGCAGGAAGAGCTCATGAATAACATGACACGCTGTCGAGAAGCAAAGGCGAAACGACACGTTATCGGCTCGGATAATTTCCTCATGAACAGATCGCGTGATCTTTCCCCCATTTCCTTGGTATCTATTTCAAACGTAATTACAGTTCAAGCTATCGACAGAGTTCTCATCATGAGTTCCGAGAGATAGCTCCAAGCCGGTACCGGAATCGCTTCTAGGAATGTGACTTTATATTATGAAGAGTGAAGCTTTTGGATTCAGGACAAGTGCAACTACCTGACGCATGAGAACGGATTGGGCGACGATTCAGGGAGCAAGCAGGAAATAAATTAGAGACTGAATCACACTTCGCTGAAGCGTTCTTTACGAGGAAGCGTCGCGAGAGGTGGACCCGATCCCGGAGTGCCTGGGCTTCTTGGCTACCATCGACGCTGTCTCCCATCGTAGAATTCTTCCCCCCCCTCCCGCGTCGACGGGTCCATTGAAGAAGAGAACTCGCCACGCTAAGCTCGCGGGATATGTATCGACACACAAGCGTCATTAAGAGCCGCTGCGCCCAGAGCTCGTGAAAAATTTACGGGCACACGACGAGCCCCATTTTGCATCGCACGCAGAGTAGTCGGGAAAAGAGTGGTGAGGGAGACAGAAGAAATTGAGCAGAGTCTATGATGTGCACGTTCGCCGCTGACTTCGCGTCCACCCCGATAATTATTAGAAGAATTTTATGATGTTCAAACTCTCCGATCGATTTGGAGACGGAACACATCACGGGATGTGGTCGTTAGAGGAAGTTATCCGACGTGGGAAGATTATCTCCTGTCCTATTGACCCGTACAATCGTAGTCTCCTCTCCGAAAGTTCGCTACTTTCTGCGTATTGATCGAACCTTCTCGCGGTTCTTGGACTCCCCCTACTCGCATCTGTCGCCCGTTTCTTCCGTGTTTCCAATACCTAATCTGAATGAGGAGCAATTCCGTGGAGGGAGTGGAGAAGCCTGCAAGATGCCTCTCTCTTCTCTGTGAGCATCGCCTTCCGACTTCCAAATAGATGTGATGGAGTCCAATGGGCCTTGAGTTCAATTGGGATGCCGAGGCAAAGTCGACGGAAGAGCGCCGCTCAGGGAAAACTTCGCCATCTTGAAGCGGACGTGAGCGCAGCGTCCACCGGTCTAGAATTCCCCGACTCCGGGAATTCTTGAGCTTTGATTCTCGAGGAAGCCCCATGAGCCATGGATCGACGAGTAAGGCACGCTCAGATCGTGGAGCTCCATGCGAAAGGGTCCTCCTCCTCCGAGAGAAAGGTTTTAGCTTCGATCACGAATTCGAAATTCTGAGAGACACACACCATTCCGAATGGTACATCGGTCGCTTGTGAGCTGTATTCAAATAGGCGCATCCCCATACTCCGACCCCCGAGAAAAAAAGAAAACCGCTGATATCGCATATCAGAATACCGTTCAATCACAATAGCAGGCCCCGAGCCACCCACAATATGATTCAAGCCCAAAATCACAATTCGAAATGAATTATTTGAAAATAGATCATTGATATAAGACCTCAACGCGCCAGCTTGCAACCCTATGTCATATGGGCATTGAGCCGCGGCGAAGCGCGGCAGGGCTAGAGCTCAAAGCAGCGAGAGTGAGGTATATAAAGGTATTTAGCGCCTCAAACGGACTAGGCAAATCTGCTCTTAGAAAAGACCCCTATCATCTTCCGGAGAGCCCTCTCCCTCTCCGGACCCGCTCACAGCATTAGTTTCTCTCTCTCAAATGGGCCTTGATCGTAGAAATTCATGCCAGTCGGTTTAGCGAATCTAGGGGCTTGAAGGCGTCCCGCTATGGCCCGAGAATTTCACATTCCAGG